TTTGTTTGACACTATTTCCATGCGATCTCATACTTTCTTCAGTCAAGAGAAATTTCTCGGAAAGATGGCGGTAACGAGAGATTCTGGGTGACCTCATTGTCTTGAACTACAATCCATATGTATTCTTACTATATTCTCCTAGCGTCCATTCACACTGAATCTTTGGTTCGCTTCCTTCTTGTTATTACTCGTACTCGGCGTGGCGATAGCTCTGGAGGTCGGGCTACATTTTCGAACATACGCACAGGTAGACCCTTTCTGCCATTTTTGTTCGGTTTTTTCACCGCTCACAATTTCGCCAGGTTGGCAGATAACCGGCAAGTCGACACTGGCATCAAGTACTATACACTATGCAACTGTTTGTCAAACTTAGCTTCGTCCATAACTCTTTCTAACCGTTATCATGCAGCCGCTTATCCCTGTCATTATTGCAATGGCCATTGTCGGATTATGGGCTGGGACAGATGCCGACATAAAAAGGATGCAGGTGGGCTCCATCATATGGCATGTGAAAAACACACCACTCACAAAATGCTATTGTAGCCTTTTATTGAATTGGCGTCTGACAATGCACCGGCATCTCATACTTTATTTGTCAATTATGTCAATTCACATTATGCCAAGGCGTTTTTCAAGTCATTGCGCAATAAACATTACATTGTTGCCCTTTCATCGGCCACGCTGATACTAGGATTTGCCGTTCAACCACTTGCCGCCTCAATATTTTCCATGAAAGATGTCTGGTGGCGTCTCCCCGGTACGATTTTTCACCTCAGATGATGACATGTTCTGACATATGTATGTGCTTCAGAAACAAGCATACGAACATTCAATACACCTGGCCTTGATTTAACGTATACAAACCTGAGTGTCACACCTGCGGTACATAATTCATCATATCAGTTAAATGTATATTTTTTTGAGGCATCCATCAATCTATGAGATTAGTTACTACAACCGCATTAAATGATATTTCAACTCCTATGTTTATGAAGGGGATATGGGCACTGGAGGATATTGAATTACCTACTTCGCAGGCTGCCAATGGGTCTATATTTACTAATGCAACGGCAATCAGATCTCTTCCCAATTGTCGGCAAAGCAACAATGTAAGTTATTTAATAACCCACGCAACTGAATGTCATGTGCTAAAATGCTAAACATTGGATTATTATGCTGGACCAAATAGGCGGGCTCCTTAATGTCATAGGTGAAGTCGATAACTGCACAATAGCGTACAATGAACCGGTTATCCCAGAAGGCACTGAATGGTACAATTCTGTTGTCAACCCATCATGCTTAAATACGTCGGATCCTCGGTCGGATTTTGATCCTGTTTTAATCCTGCTTGTGTACGTTAACTCCCAAGGTGTGGCCGTACGAACACAATGATATATTGCACACCCACTATTGATCTCGTGGTTGCCAATATTCAGATTGAGCTAAAGACAGGCCAATTTACGGTTCATAATTTTACCAATTATATGCTCCCTAATAATATTACCGATCCGGACGGATTCATGAAAGGACGAGCATTCAATGGACTTATCTTTGGGTCTGGTCCGTCTGGACAAGCTGTGAAGGAACCAATGTACGTCACAGATAGAATTCACATTATTATAATAGCTAATCATCGTTCTAGTTCTAATGGCTATTCACAAACTTTTACAGCTGCGCTGCAGACTAAAGCAATCCGTTCTCCAATAGGATTGGAAGGACAAATGAAAAGCGATGGGATGTTAGGAATAACAGAACAGTTATATGTAGGCTTTACATCAGCATGGCTGGGTATTGCCGCTAATATGATATGTAAAGGCACAATATCTATCAATAATGGCAAAAGGCATCTACTTATTGAGGTCGAATACTAATCCAATTCTGCCTTCATTGAAACATGGCAGGCCAGATTATTCATTGTATACGTGTTTGTCTATATATGTGAACAGTTACTTATTATTTGTTATTTAAATAGCCCTTCTGCGACGCATGTACTCACCTGCATTCTTTTGGTATTCCTCATCTGCGGGATCACGGTCCATTTACTACACTCTCGTTATCGTGCAGAACTAAACATTACAAGGCGATCTGGAACATTAGCAGTAGCGATTGCATATACAGCGGATTATAACTTTCATAATCATTTTCAGAGTGTTGTCCCTGAAGGCAGGTTTAACGAGTATCTAGCAGAAAAATATTTCAGGCTTGATATGAAAACGGCAAGGATTGTAATGGATGAAAGCGACGGCGGGGCCGGTTTGAAGGAGGCTTCTCCTTTGAGGAGTCTGAGTCCCCATTATATCGAATCAGGCGAATCGCTTAGTACCAACTTTCAAGAATATGATGTGACAGCAAGGGTAAGAGTATTTGCTTTTAATTACCGATCTACATGGCTCAACATCAGCCAAACGACTTGCAGAGCACTAGTAGTGTACCAGAAAAACTGATACCCAACAGAGTTCGGGGAGTTCATATTAATTCCTGGGTAAGTCTCTATAATAAGAAGCTTGTTCGGACAGTAAAGTGACTTTATAGACACCTATTCCACTGTGACTATGGCTTGGCATGGCGATCCTAATGCTGTCGCTCATCCTTTCCGCAGCCCTTATAGCTGGAGTGCGATTATTGAAATCCCAAGGTCCGGTTGGCATAATAACGCTTCAAGGAGTATACTAATTCACTCGCTTGCTGATAGGTTGGAGAATATCTAATATCACGTCCGCCACGGAGGGATTTCTGCACTACGCCATTGTGAGAGCTTCCCGCATTTAGGTATGGGTGTTTGCTTAATTATAATGTTCACAGATATTATCACCGGTAGCGTTAGCAATTACAATTTGCACAATATGGCAGTGGATTGATAACTATATTAAAAAGATGCAGGTATGTGACCGTTGCCTACTACTCTTGAATGGATCCGCATTCCTAACATCCACAGCCCTATATCGAATTGGCACATGGAAGCACACCGGGTTCTCAGTCAATCCTGCTTGGTTATTCCCAAAGGCATCCTATTATTGGGATTTTCCTTGGCGCCGTCAAAAGGCATTATCTGGTGGTATTATCATCGGCGATAGTGGTGACTACGCTGGCTCTACAGCCCTTGATGGGATCGATATTTGCGATACAGAGTGTTGAACATATGGTTCCTGGTGGGTAGTATCTATTTTTCAAGTGGATCAATAATTCTTTATTCTATCAACTAGGTGTGAATATTATAAACCCTTCCATTCCAGGCTTCAATTTCACGGACACCGCATTTTTAACAGTTGAGACCACTCACGCCCTAAATTATGTCCCGTTATACTGAGTGCTCTGCTTAGGCTGCACAATTTCTACAAGCAAAATCATTGTATAATATCTCTTTCCCTAAACTCACCAACGAGATATGGGCTATTGGGGACTTCGATATTCCCACTTCGTTTGCCAGCGGGAATGGGAGCCTACAAGTTAATACCACTGCGTACAGATCTAATATGACGTCCTGTCGAAATGCGTTAACGGTTGGTTCCAAGTTTAAACATTCCTTTTGAATACTAAGTAACTCAATTTCACTTTAGACAAATGTGTCTTTCAATGAAACGTCTTCAACCTACGATATTGAGGAGATCCAGCTTGACAGTAACTGCACACTCAATACTACATCAATTCTAGCCTTTTGGGATTCCGACTCGAGCATCGGGTTTAGCGTTACGCCTGCGGTTTGCATCGATATGAATCAGACGGAAATATTGTCCCCTACTGGGGCGAACATTCTCCCCGCCATGCAACCAGTTGTCTTTTTTCTGCCTATAACTTCAACTCCTCCGTATAGCGAAAGCAATCCATTGGCAGTCGCTGCAATATACTGTCAACCTAATTTGGAGCTGATAAATGCTACTGTCGAGGTTGACTTAGCCAACGGGGATTTTACTATTTTACAAGCAATGAAAGATACCCAGGCAAACACTTTCACTGATCCTAATAATCTCTTACATGGCCGTGTTTTGAACGGTCTCACGAATGCATTTGTCACTAATGAGTCCGATCCGCTGTGCGTATTTCATACATATTTGGAACATGTGCTAAATATCCCATACACAGGAGAAATGTTTTCAGTAGCCCTATAGACCCTATCACACGCTATCTTTAAATCACTTGAATGGGCCTCCTACATTAATGGAAGCAATTAATCAGGCAGCTTCGGGAACTCCTGATGGTTATGACACGAGAATAAGGGACGGCAGTCTTGTGGATGTTGTTCAAAATCATTATGTAGGTGGGCTGACATTTTTTTGGTATTTTATGGCTAAAACGACCATTAGTCTATGTACCTCACTCTTGCTGCGAAACAACTGTATTTCACGAATGGGAACGGAACATTACAGGCAGTGGTCCTGCTGTCTCAATCCCGTTTATTTGTAACGTGTGTCAATCACTTTCCTTTATGGCTTCCTAACTAATTCCAGATCTTAGTCCCGTAGCTGCATATCTGCTAACGGCCATCTTAATTGGAAATGCCATAATGGGCGCTGCATTACACTTGGCACACAAACGAGCCCGTCATATGGCCCCCTTTCCCCGTCAACCGAACACATTGGCTGCTGCGTTCGCCTTAACGTTAGATTCAAATGTAGGAGATGTTGTAAAGGTCTCGATGATAATGAAGCATTAGAGGAAACATTGCGCGACAGGATGTTTTTTCTACACAGGACAACGGGAGGGATCCACGTAGAAAGCGATGACGGACTGAACGAAGAAAGGAGGTCGATTTTGGCTATGTAATCATTCTGGTATCCAATAGATATCTCAAGTTTATATGCATTGAAATCACATTTATATCAAATCGTTCGCATAGCAAGGAGAGCAACAACGAGCGAGCTATATATAAAAAGGATGTGCAGCTTTCTCACAGAGGCTGATATTTGAAAATAAAACAAAAAAGTATTGCACTCCATGCATTCATGGAGTTGTGATGAAAGGCACTCACTACTTGATGTTACAGGTAAAAGACAGCAAAAGTGTGTGCCCACCGCGATTCGAACGCGGGTCTGTTCGGATTATGTCAGCGCCACAACGAACTGATCTAACCACTAATCTATGGGCACCCTGCAAGTTTCAGGTATGGTATAATACCTGGGTGTATAATACATACCCTAAAGCTAGGAATGGCAAGTTACTGAGAGTACTTTAAACCTATAGCACTGAAATTCAGTTGATTTATTTATTTCGTTTCAGTTATGGTGCCATAGGGTGCCATATAACATACCTTTAACGCATGGGTATGCCTGCACAAATGAGACTTCAAAAGCGGGACAAAACCATATGAAAAGTCCTGATAGAAATTCACCTGTCTTCTTGATACCGAACATGCCACTCAATTATACTGTTATTAGTCAGCAAATCGTTTTTGTAAAATGACTTAGTCTGGGACTTTACTACCAGAGTGATTTATATATCTCCGTTAGGTTTCTTTATGCCGAGGGTTCCGATAAGTACTATCCTGAACGTCTCATATAAAAATAAAAATAAACTTTTAGAGAAGAATTTGTATGTGTGCAGCTGGTGTGTAGAATGGATTTTGGGTATGCTATTTGGAAATCTTTTTAACGATCCTACGAATTAAAATAAGGCTGTAAAGAGCTATAGAGAATGAAATCGAATCAAAGAGAAATGGCTGCGCTAGTGCATCCGATGTCATTATTCGGTCTTCTTCATGAACGAGCAGTTTTGTGACGTTCACGAGGATGCCGGAGTCTCAAAATACCATATGTTTTTAAGGAAATGACTCACCGATGAGTATCATAAAATAGCATAAAAGGTAGTTCATAACTGAGCCTTCTTCAGAGAGCTCAAAGAGTTTCCCATTTCTCATGTTTCTCAGGTCTGCTTTCCTCAGTTTCATTTCCAGCGTACTGCTTATCCATACCTACCTATCCTGATTCTGTAGTCGTCAACGCTCAGCTTTGACTAACTTCAGTTTCGTCAATGATATCACCATGGTCATCGGCTTGTCCACTTTTTCCACTTGGGTCGTTGGGTATGTCCCTCTCAACCTTAAATCATGTCTACTAGAAGTATTGATCACATTCAAGGCTCAAATTTGATGGTACGATAATCATTACTTATTATCTATACCCCTAGAAAGCATTCACAATTTACAGTAAATAATCCTCTCAAAGTCCCCAGATCAATCCAACATGTCACCGCCAACGGATCGGTTGACGGAACAGTCTTTATTAACCTCACGCATGACTTTGATAATTTCACTATCCTCCCCGGAGAAGTAGTGAACTCTGGAACAATTCAGAATGTTTTATTGTCTCAAGTATTCAATCTCGATTTCGTTGAAGTACTATTGCTTACAACGAGTCATGATAGGGAATAATTGCTACTCTGAACATCATTCTATTAGGTTTATTAGGTGTTGAAAGTGACATCGTCCTCGCTGTGTAAATATTTCATTCACTCCAAAGAAACACTTTGCTCAAAGACGTTGACAGTGTGGGAAAGCCAATCACTGTGAAAGGATTAACGCAGTATAATGTTAGTGCAAGCTATACCATTGATCTTACGGCTCTGTAGAAGCAGAAGCTCTCGTGAACCACTATGCAATCCTACAGTATATATTATTAGTCCGGTATTTTTGGATAGATACAATGCGACATACACACATATATATATTAGTCTCAGTAAAGAAAGATCAACCCTTCTGGAGCATGGTATTGGATGTCAAAGGCATCATGAGTCCTTGATACCATGTCCCGAAGCATACTATCTGCACACCTACGATGGTTAATAACGATTTGCATATTTGCATATTCTGGCAGCCTGGTACAGAAGCTGCTTCGATCGACGAAGGATAGAATCTGCCAAGCTTTGAGTGTTGGTTAATTCGAAATGGAGGCATCGAGGTTTGGGACATGGACGTGAATATTCTTGACGAATGAGGCCTTCGATGTGACACGGATGAACAAATTGGAGAGTAGCGAGATTCTTCATTTCATAAAATACACCCCAACTTTCATCTTCTACCACAGCCACACTGCCCAAAACCAAATGGAGTAATGAAGCAACGTGCCTATCAATAAATCGTTTGACTCAACCGAAGTACTGAGCGCGTTTCAACACCTGTTCCTCGAGGTTGGGGAAATGCATGTTATCCAGCACCACGGTGGTCTCGCAATCCGAGAAGGAGAATTCGAGATTCCTGAGTTTGGTGAGGGTTATTGTAACAGGGTTAAAAGTCAATTGCTTCGAGTGAACGGGCCGGTGGTGCCAAATGAGACTCGAGAGCGATACGCAATGACCCATACTGAAAATTAAATCTGATTGGCTCTCAATCTCCAGATGTTCTAGGTGGCCTAAGGATTGAGAGGAAATGGAGGTGAAGAAGGCTCCAATGCTATGTTCCAAATGGAGGGTTGATAATTTCGAAGCATGAAGGGTGTCCAAATGTCGAGAGTCCGGATACCTCGTGCGAAAACGCACGAAACGCGAAGATTTCCAGATGAGGACAATCAGTCATTATTTTTGGAGGCAACAGTGATGTCAACATGTCTGCTGAGCTGCGCATATGCAGATTAGCATGAAATGTGCGGGATTTTTGCAAAATTAATTGGAGGGAGTCAATAGCTTCAGGAGCGTCCAAGATGCTAGTTTGTCCTGGGAAGAATGAACCGCAAACAATGAATACCTTCATCGGTAGATCTCAAGCATTCCTTGCGCTCTTGCAGATAGCGGATACGGATGAGTTATTAGACAGTTTGTGCAAAAGCGACAGAGCGCCACCGTCGCTAAATTCAGTTGTGCACGCGTCACTCCAACCAATCCTGCTGTCGCTACCTCAATTTCCATATACGGTAGAGCGACAGGAAGGCGACAGCTGCACAACCAAAATTAGCGACGGTGGCGCTCTGGGTGGCGCATTGGGTGGAGCGACAGCAGGATTGGTTGGAGCGACGCGTATACGGTAGAGCGACAGGAAGGCGACAGCCGCACAGCTAACTTTTAGCGACGGTGGCGCTCTGTCGCTTTTAGGGCTCCGCACCGTATCCGTATAGACCGTTTCTACGGCACCGTAATACGGCACCCGTAACCGTTCCGACAGAGCATTTCGCAGAATTGGCCGTAAGACGGTACGGTGCTGAACGGTGCCGTATTAGACCGTATGAAATACGGCCGTTTACGGCCGTAGAAACGGTCTATACGGTTTTCTCGGCTAATAATCTCCTGACCAATAGGAAAGGGTCATTTGCGATCATGTTATTATTCATTAATGGTGGCACCAAGTCCTCTGATAAACAATATTAGAAGAACTTACCTGTATTCCCAGAGGCTTTTTACCTTGTTAGGTGTGGATATGCTGAGTGGAAATGTTGTGGAACTGCTAGGTAATGACTAGCGAACTTACGTCCGATATTATTAAGCTTCTTCTAAAGTCAGAATCCCTTGAGATTTAACATTCCCATCTATATCGACTTAATAAATAATCGTATAGACCTATATTTACCTGCCCCATTATCTCCCCCCATCGTGCAAGTCTGAGCACAGACATTCTCAAACTACAGATCTCCGATCAAGTAATAGCATCTTTCTCCTCGCATCATGTTCAGTACTTCCTTTCACAATTATTAGATGCCCTGGCCAGTGAAGAAATGCTATTATTCGACATTTCGGCTTGCCGTACACCGTAATGCGCCGTTTACGGCCGTATACGGTCTGTATCCGTTCCGATGAGCAAGTTGCCAGACCAGTATACGGAACGGTTACAGTACTGATTGCGCCGTAAATGGCCGTACCCTTTACGGCCGTAACCGTTTACGGTGCGGTGCGGAGCCCTAGTCGCTTTTGCGCAAACTGTCTATTATATGTTTCGCAGGTTCAGAGTTAACCCGTAGTATCTAGGACAATGCGCCATTGACTATACACCTGGCGCAGATGCTGACATATTCGTTGAGGGGTACGACCTGAATCGTCCTTATACGATGGTATCCAAGGATTCTCCGGACGATAAGCCACAGAAGGTATGCACGAAATAAATATTTGAGTTAGGATCTCCACAGGTAGAGTCGATTTAGAGACCATGGATTTTATAACTTCAGTAATGCCTGAGATGATCTGTGGTGAAGGAATGGCGACTAGCTGACACAGCGATCCAGTGTCGGACGTAAGCGATTTCAATCCAGCTGACGGAGCTACCAGAACCAAATTACCTGTATGTTTAAACTAGTTAGAAGAATATCTTTTGGATAAAGAGACACGCAGCTGTTTACTTACCGCTTCTCTTAAATGATACGCGCCATCCTTGTTCTCTGTATATCTCCCGGCTTATGGTCACTAAAGAGCGAAGAAACCCCAGCGAAATTATCATCGCTTTATAGTATATACGTAGCTCCCTCGAGAAATACGATCTGTGCTTACACAGATTTTATGAAGCCCGAGGGACTTCGGGAGATCAGGGAGGTGCGACTGTGACGCGTGACCGTAAATGTTCGGTCTGATGTTGGCCGGATAGTTCTGATTATTTCCATTGACTCAGAAACCCGGCGTTCGGAATTGGGACCGGAGAGTCCTTGCAAACCAATTTCCACTTCAAAGAGGAGTTATATACCTTTTTTCGTCAGTTCTAGGAATCGGAAAATGGTGATGACACAGCTGTTAGGTACTAGTACTACTTAGATGCCGTCAACTGGCTCCTAAATATAAGAGAGGTTCAATAAATGATTAAACTTAGGATCCCTAAAATACATACGTGATCTGGAATTCTAAGCCAGTTTAGGGCTCGTTCATGCCCTAGCAGTCCGCACACAGTTCAAGCGCTCGTACCTCAGGTGCCAGGTGGGCCAAGAACTTACTCAATTTTCGGGCTCGGGGATGTAGATGATTAGCCTGATGATAAACGGCTGACATCACTCCTCTTTGAACCTATTCTAAACATACCGGTTACGGTTAGAAGAATCCAATTATCCTGCTGCTTCATGGCTCCTTAATTATGTGACTATGTCAATCCTTTCCACCTTGAACAATCATAGAAGACTAGGTTTCCAATATGTAGAAGATAATCGAGACCGAAACACATCCTGAGAAAGGCGGCCCTGGAATCGCC